TGTGTCTCTCTCTCTCTCTCTCTCTCTCGCTCTCTCTCTCTCTCTCCCCCCGAGATAAGATTCTTATTTATACACTGTGTTACATTCTTTTTGTATAACTTGTGCTTCTTAAATGTCCGACTCTGTAAATTCTTTCAAGTTTTATGTTGGAATATGAGAATATATCTATTGAGATGTAAAGCGATTTATCGAGATAAATTGTTTATCTCTTATTTGCATATACTTATTCTTGTAGAAAAAACTAAAGATAAGGAAATAGATTATCTCGGACAATATTTGCAATATAGTAACACGGAAATGACTAACGAAAAGATACTTGACATTTTCTCTCATTCTTTTATCAAAAGATTTTAGTAATTATGTTAGAAAAGGTAGGAGATAAAATAAAATTTACGCTTACAATGTATATAATTTTCACATTTTTTTTCCATTGTTTAGTACGAGGCGCAAGACCAGGTAAAAATGTTCAGTTGACAGAAGTGGAAATTAGAGGATTGTGTCTCAAGTCACGTGAAATCTTTCTATCACAACCCATCCTTTTAGAACTCGAAGCACCATTGAAAATATGTGGTAAGCAAATAAGCATAATAAGCATCAAACTACAATTCCAAGGAAAGCTACATCTATATAATTTTGGTTACCTTTAGTCATTTAATATTGACTTTATTCATTGATATTGTACAATTTTGTTTGTAAGGTGATATTCATGGACAATATTATGATTTGTTACGATTGTTCGAGTACGGTGGTTTTCCTCCCGAAAGCAACTACCTTTTCTTAGGAGATTACGTTGATAGAGGGAAACAATCGTTGGAAACTATTTGTCTCCTTCTTGCCTATAAGATCAAGTATCCAGAAAATTTCTTCTTGTTAAGAGGAAATCATGAATGCGCATCCATTAATAGGATATATGGATTTTATGATGAATGTGGGTATTTTGTATGTGTATATATATATATATATATATATTTTTTTTTTTTTTTTTTCATAAATATTCTTCCTCATGATATTCTTTTTACAGTTGTTAGTTCATCTTGCTATTTCGACTAATAAAATTATGTTTTAGGTAAACGTCGTTACAACATTAAACTATGGAAAACGTTTACTGATTGCTTCAATTGCCTACCTGTTGCTGCGATAGTAGACGAGAAGATATTTTGTTGCCATGGAGGTTTGAGTCCGGATCTTCAAAGCATGGAACAGATCAGACGTATCATGCGACCGACAGATGTACCTGATCAAGGATTACTCTGTGATTTATTGTGGTCTGATCCCGATAAAGACACTATGGGTTGGGGCGAAAATGATCGTGGTGTATCCTTCACTTTCGGCGCAGAAGTCGTTGCCAAGTTTTTGCACAAGCATGATTTTGATCTTATATGCCGTGCACATCAGGTAAACAGATTTTTAATATATACGTATATATATTGGATACTTTGTTCATGGGATGCTTTTTAAAAATGGAAAATTATTTTTCAGGTGGTGGAAGATGGTTACGAATTTTTTGCCAAACGACAATTGGTGACTCTGTTCTCGGCTCCGAACTACTGCGGCGAGTTTGACAATGCAGGTGCCATGATGTCAGTGGACGAGACTCTCATGTGCAGTTTCCAAATTTTAAAACCGGCCGATAAGAGGAAATTCACCTATGGTGGTCTCAATGCTGGACGGCCTGTAACACCACCGCGGGGTGCGAATAACAAAAATAAGAAGAAGTGAAGTCCTTAGATTTATCTTTTCGAATGCGATGCTTAGAACTGCTACCGCCCAACCCGACATCTATCCATCGAGACATTAAGACCTTTTGTGTGTGTGTGTGTGTGTGTGTATGTGTGTATGGGTGCGCGTGCGTGCGCGTATGTGTGTGGGTGTGTGTGGTCCGCGAGAGAAAGAGAGAGAAAGAGGTGTGAGTTATAATAATAATAATTATTATTATTATATTATTATTTTTGATTGACTACGAAGCCTGTGTGGAAATAATTACATCTTATCGGAAAATCCGGAGGGGCGTTGCTTTTCACAGAGTTTATCAAAAGTAGTAAGTAATAGTGCATATGTTGTAGCTAAATGTGTTATCGTATAAAACAAAATAGTAGTGATGAAACCAATCGATCGATCATAAAATTAGAGAGAATTTTACGTGGTTTTCACGATATTCTTAACAATTGAAAAATAAAAAGTAGAACAAAAGAAAGACAGGCACTTTTGCTATAATTCGTCTTTCCTATTCGTCAATCGTAACATCTGCATCTTGTAGCTTGTTCATCATTTGCATTTACACTCGTCAAGTGTCTGATTAATCGAGAAAGGACGTGACATTTTTTTTGATCACTTTACGCTGTGAGAAAAATCGATATGATAATTGTGTCACACATATACACATACATTCACGTGCACACTCTCGTTTCATTATGTAAGTATGCTATTAACGAAGATATCGATACACAAATAATAAAGTAGCCATCATTTAGACTTAATTCCCTAAAATATAATAGATATTTATAGCTTGGTACTTCTGTAAGTTGCACAAATTTGTAAACGACATCTATTACGTCATACCTACTTTTATAAATATACATTTATATATGTGTGAATTGTGAAATACAGAGAGAGAGAGAGAGAGAGAGAGAGGGGGGGGGGGGGGGGGACGGGAGGGGAGATTTTGGTTTAAGTGTGTCAAAGTGTTAATTATTAATATACACATTATATTGTCTCGCGATGAACGGGAATATTTATCGCAGTTATCATGGTGGCAAAGCTTCTCTGGATTATTTTAATTTTAACGATGCTACATTAGTCTAATTTCCACCGAGGATTTAAACTGGATCAGAATGTAAGAATCAATTAACTACAGTTGAGCATTCCCTTGTTCGACTGTAAAGGAATACTCAACTGTAGTTGGTTGATTCTTACATTCTGATCTGATTTAAATCCTCGGTGGAAACTAGGCCAATGTCCGTGTATAAACAGAAAGATATTAATCATGTGGTGTAAATGAGCACACGCGCATCGTATAACGATTGATGATAGGTGATTCTAATTTTCGAAATAATACGAAAAGGAAGAAATCTTGCAGTTGGAGCATTTTCCATCATCTGCTCGTGACAGTCCTGTAACAGGATCATTACTATTGTTAATATTACACACACATATACACACACATACACACGCACACACATACGCACACAGACACACACACACACACGCCTCTTTTCTCTCGCTCTCCTGCATTAATTCACATTCATTTTATTCATTTTTCCTTTTTTATTCCACTCCTAAACTGATCTTATTAGCCACAATTGACCACAATGCATAGATTCATCATCAATAGTACGAAAGAAAAACACGATAGTTACGAAAAACTTATCTGACGCGAGGATTTTATCCACGGGATCTTGAGATCGATCATGTTTAGTTTCCCTTTCTTCATACTTGTACATTTCTTTTTTATAAATAAAATTCACATAAAAATATGTATCATATTTCTTTAGTCGATATATCACATCCATCATCCCGACGCGATCATTTCTCACATGCGTGAATTTGGGTTGAATTTTACTCGCTCCAAAGTCTATCCTTGAAGCGAGTAACTGCATGCGATGTGTCACTCTTGATCTCGTTCATCAGAATATCTCGTATGTATATGTATCGAACGAACGCATAACAGGTACTATTTATAATATATATGTATAATATTATAAGCGTACGCTCGTAACATTTGTTTATTCTTGTATGTGTATCCGCTCGTGGAAGATACGTCTATTATGTATATAATGAGAGTAATTTCAAGTTTGCTATTAATCTCGCCATGTTCAGTTGGACACAATTGTTCTGGCATATGTAACTTTACCTATGTCACATTCAGAGAGAGAGAGAGGGGAGGGAGGGAGGGAGGGAGACGTGTATGTACAAGGGCTAAACCGGTAACACCAATCATTATTAAGCTCCTTGCGACGCACTTTCGTTAGCGTTACTTAGTAATTCCAGAGGGTTCAATTTAAATACAATGAGAACAATATTAAGATAAATAGTGGTTAGCAAGTAAAATGTCTAGTCTAGTTGCGTAATAAAACTTTTTTTTTTTTAATGGAGTACGAGAAAATGGGAAAAGGAAGGAGATAGCAACAAAAAAGCAGAAAAAAAGGGAGGCATGTATAGAGACTAGGGACCGTAATTAAAATATTCAACTTTCCGATATTCAAAGCCTGTACAAAAGTATATATCAATCAGCTCGATCTTTATTTCACACCAAGTGTATCATAGGTACAAATGATAAATTTAGCCAAAAATAAAATCATAACGAGCCGGCCAAGATTTTCGACTTGTTTATCTTTCTAAATAATTATAACAAATAATTATTCTACTTATTGATAATCATTCTCATGTAAGCGTTATTAACAATGTTATGTATATAAATAGTGTTGTATTTATTAATAAACAATTACAAAAGTGGAGACGTGCCCGCGCTGTATCGTGGGAGGGCTTGGAAAGATCAAAAGGGAATATGCCAAAAGCACTGTTTCACGCACAAACAAAATTGTTACCTAAGAAACTGACTAAAGTGTCGTGAGATGCAAAACGAAACGCCAAAAGTATCGTGAAGGGGAGAAATAAAAGCACGTTATGACATGCGATCTAAGATTGTAAGAGCAGATTAGTCACCGAGAATTGCGCAAATCAGCGCGAACTCCGCGAGATACGAGGAGACATACAAGAAGTATCTTCTTGACGCGCCTTCGTTTGTTTCTTTTTCCAAAAGAAAAGAGAGTATACAATACGTATACAATACGTATACAATAGGAGAATAATCAAGCTTATCTGCAAACATAGGTGAAATAATTAATTTTAAAAGAAATCGATAATCGTTTCCTTCTTTTCGATAACATGTACCATTTTTATATTTTTCACGAAATTGATTCTTCTTTTGAAATAACATTCATCGATATACTTTAAATGTATAGATTTTATGTATAGATGAGAAACTATTCTATGCAGAAAAATGAACAAATTAACATATTTTAATTCTCCATTTGTTTTATCAATTATTTATATTACGTCTGCATTTTTTTATACGTATAAAGGTTCCGACTTGTCATGGCATTTGTTCAAAATGCTAAGTCGAACTTTTTCTCTTGCACATGATATTAAAAAGATTGGTCTAAAAAAGTTTTATAGATGAAGAATAAAAGACTAACGATCTTATACGTTGAAAATATTAAAAAAAGCTTTCGTTTCCGATAATAAAAATTTATATTAAAATATATTACCCCCTCTCCACACACACACGCACGCGCACGCGCGCGCATTAATATATTATACAATATTGATAGATTGCAGAATTTATGTGAATGTTGAAGCGAGAGCATGCACGAGCATGAATCATGTGGATCTATGAATGAAAAATGTTACAGTACATAGATGTACTACTACTATATTTCATTCGGCACTATACAACTGTACGTAGTACACAAGTATTATTAAATAACTCTGTGAAAAGAAAAGAATTTGTGATTGAATTGAAGATACCTCAATTTAGCCCTTTTTGGACACGTTCCCCCCCCCCCCCCCTCTCTCTCTCTCTCTCTCTCTCTCTCTCTCTGTTCTAATTTTTTATTAAGTGGAATGCTTCGAAAGCAAGCGTTTGTTTCACAAAGGAAAAAATATTGTTCATTTTCAATTTATTTTTTCACCTAGAATCGTCGCATTCTTCTTTTCTTCTCGATTGCGCTCTCGATAATGGAGCACGTGGTATGTGAAAAGCTACGTATATGTATATGTATACGTATAATATGTATGAACATAAAATAGAAATATTTATTCTCGGATGTCAAGAATGGAAAGGCCCATTCCTGAGTCCATTGCACCTACCTATCTACCTACCTATCTACCTACCTACCCCTGACACATTTCTGGCTCGGTGAGAAGAAGGCTCCGCCTTCTGGCATCGAAGAAGAGTAAGAGCTAGGCCACAAGATTCGTGCAGCATCCGATTGCCGTCCAACCGCGCGCCGGCAGCAGCCGGCAGCGACAGGCAGCGTGGGTGCTGGTGGGTGCTGGTGGGTGCTGGTGGGTACTGGTGGGTGCCGGTGACGCCGGTGTAGGAGGATCCTCGGAGAAGCCCTCCTCTCTTCTCTTCCTCTCGCACCCCTCCCTCTCGCATCGCTCTCGCGTTTCATCCTTCTCCTTCTTTAGGACGGTTCTCCAAATGCAAGCGGAGCCAAGAGATCGAGACGGAACGAAAAGCTGTCTCGGAGAAAGAGAACGATGTCGCGATGATAAGCAGCTAGAACGGAGTAGTCGCCTCGGGCGAGTTCTTTCCGATTCATCCGGGATTCGCGTGGCGCGACGCGACGCGACGCGACGCGGCCCAGCTTTGAGCGGCTTTGAGCGTCCTTGTCAACGTCCGGACACGGAGGTGAGGACAAGTCCTGTTGACGACAAAGCGAAACGATCTCATTCTCCGTCTCGACGATGCCGAGACATCGGGTATTCGTCGGGCACTCGGTCGAGATCGGAACGCCGGTGTCACGGCGGCGCCCGCTGAAATCACGGTCGGATCTTCTTTCAATGGGAAGCCGCTGAGGAAATCCGCTCGTTTCACATTTACATTATATTTTATATTATATTCACGGCATTAATAACGTGTTCGCAACGGAGGGGTAAAAGTTCGGAAAACGAGACTTTCCTACATCCTGATGAAAGTCCGCTCTCGAAAGCGGATTACCGAGATGCCGATATACGCGCGGATTGCGGCCAACGATCATATCATCATCGGCCCACGATTGACCCACGTCGTATATCACGACGAAGGTGAGGTGAAGTCGTGCAGATCATCCGAACAATAATTTTCAATAAAGTGCGCGTCTTCTGACCGGTCCAAGCGTTCACACTTTCGCGTGGGAATCGATCCATGCTCTAAAACTTCCAAGGATAGCTACTATATACTTATGATGATGAAATTAATCCGCGAGTGCGAATGGTGTCGTCTTGCGTTATTAAATCTTTCGTTACGTTGGAAATTATGTCCAAGGATCGTGCACCACAAGACGCACCAAGTTGAAGTAAATTTCGCGATATGGATTCATGTGAATAATTTGTATTTTTTCGTCACGTAATCAATACTAATTGTAATAACTGACATTCATTGATGACGATGCAATCGCAACATCACGAGCAACGACGCGAAATCACCGCTGATAATTGCTGCTACCAGCAATGGTCGGCGCATCATTATCACCATCATCATCATCATCATCATCAGCAGCAGCAGCAGCAGCAGCAGCAGCAACAACAGCAGCAGCAGCAGCAGCAACAGCAGCAGCAGCAACAACAACAACATCAACAGCAGCATCTGCCCGCTGTACCGTCGCCCATGCAACAAATGGAAGGTGAATGACAGATAGAAAAAAATGTTATTTTTTTAATTAAAAATTGCGTTACTCGATCTGCTACTAGTAATACGCGGAACGTTTAAGTAATTGTCACTGATTGCGACGATCGATAAGATCAAAGCGACCTTATCGTGTGTCTTTCTATACATACTACTTTATATTAATTGTTGCATTTTTTGCACATAGGTAATATTCTTTAGGAATGCATCGGAAAGTATCCGAAAAGTATCCGCGATATCTAGTATTATTCAGCACTTTTTTACTATCCGATCGGATATCGTTAGTATCCGGAAATATATACGGTTGAAATTTCATATTGAAAGTTTGCGTTGATGTAGATTTCTATTCTTTTCAGCTCAAATTCATACACAGTTCGTCTTTCCTCTTTTTTTTTCTTTCTTGGTAAAAAAAAAGATAAATTGTGCAATTCAGTTAAGGTTGCATTCGGTAAGCGATATCAACAGTATCAGCGCTATTGTGTCATTCTATTTTTATTATTCATTAGACGTAAAATAGTAGGATAAAAATCCGTGTTCCGGATTACGTATAAAGCGCTTGATGCATAAATAGAAAATTACTGCAGTTTACGATGCTGAATTAATGAAATATCTGACAGAACCTCTATCACCGAGAAATGTAGATCCCTTAACATGGTAAAAAATTCATGTTTCATGAGTCAGAGTACCCAAATCTCAAAACTTTTGAAATATTTTAGTGCTTCATCATCTTCCGTGCATTCGGAAAGACTTTTCAGCACAGGAAAATTGATTATATTGATAATCGAAATAGATTGTCACCGGAAAATGCTGAAATGTTATTATTCATAATGAAAAATTTATTAATATCAAACTTTGATTACTAATGTTGAACTGTATTGCAAACAATTAATATTATTTTATAATATAATTATATTATATTAATAATATTTACATCATTATAATTATATAATTATTATCACTATTTTTCTCTTACAGTCCCTTTTCCTTTTTGCTCCCTTTTTTTTTCTTTTTTTACTCAGTTTTTTTTTTAGACATTGTCTCGGAATCCGATCGGATATCTGATGTTACATTCTTTTCGGATATCCGATATCTGATAATTTTACGATCCGGTGCATTCCTAGTATTCTTTTTCTCTCTGATGAAAGTTGATGTACGTGTTAGATACATGTGCGAAACAATTAGTAAAAGTATAGAGTAAAAGCAACGTACGTATTATAACATTGCGAACATAAGCTTTAGAAATTTTTGAGGTATTGATCTGTTAAGTATTTTTAATAAATCTAAATTACGAATAAGTCTAATTTAGATATAAATCTATAGATCAACTAATCACTAACTATTTTTCGCAATTTTCCCGTATTAAACTGTAAAGCAGCGACGCTAACAAAATGAAACAGAGGCACTTTACTTTCTTTTTAAAATAAAAGACATACTCGTTCTCATCTCGCGATTTAATCGCGAAAGATATACGCAAGTGACGATACGAGCATCAATCTATCCGTTGAATCGTATCTTGTATTGATTTCTCGCAGCCTGTTTGCAAAGCGCCGGAAGAGTAAAGAGATCTCGCAGTCCGAATCATCCGATGAAGGCCATTTTGCCGATTCATTCGGCGAATCCCCCGGCGATTTCCCCGCGATCTGCCACGATGGAATCGCGCAACGATAGTAACAATAACAATAGTCATCACGGTGACCATCATCCGAGCGAGGATAGTGGGTCCTCCGTCGAGGAATCAAGCGCGAAAAGGCCGCTCCATCCGGCGCTGCTCGGTGCTGGCGCCGCTCTGGAGGCGAAGCCGCTCTGGGAGGAATTCCATCAGCTTGGCACCGAGATGATTGTTACGAAAGCCGGACGAAGAATGTTCCCCACGTTTCAGGTGAGCACATCTCACGTTCGTGCAGATATTCATTCGTTCAAACAGACAAATTGACCAGAAATTGACGCGAAAACCTTATTCGTCGAAGCGATGTGATGCGACATGTATATATATATATATATATATATACATATATATATATATATATACACATATACGAATGATTTTGCTGATCGACAGTGTCGACTGTTCGGCTTAGACCCCAACACCGAATATCTGATGGTGATGGATTTCGTCCCGTGCGATGACAAGAGGTATCGATATGCTTTCCACAGCAGTGCCTGGGTCGTAGCCGGTCGCGCTGATCCCATATCACCCCCTAGGATCCACGTGCATCCCGATAGTCCTGCGAGTGGCGCTCATTGGATGAAGCAGCCAATTTCCTTCGACAAGTTGAAATTGACTAACAATCAGCTTGACGATAATGGACACGTGAGTCTATGCTTTATTCTGATTGATTCTTTCTCAACTTCTTTCTCAACTTCTATTCGTCACACTAATCCGTCAACTTATCCGGTCGGACACAAACAATGAAGCGTGGGCGTTGCAGTTACGTTTCTTTACAATACGCGCCGTTAATAAATTATTCCGATTTATTTGAAAAATATATTGCAGAATTCAACCAAGGACAACTAATATCATCTCACTTTTATTTGCGAAAAAACTAAAATTAATTTAATTTAATTTAATTAATAAAAAATAACATTTCCAATTTTGCCTGTGATAAAATCTTATTCTTTCACGACTTTGAATCTCTCGGTGTTGAACCATTTTCGCTTGAATTACGCGACGTCTTCGTATCGTTGCTTTCTACATCGATGTAATCTACATAGTAAAGTAGAATGAAAGATGTCAGGATTTCCACGTGTTTGTCGTTTACGCACGAGTTCGTCTTAATTGACCTAAGATACGAGTGCGTCGCTCACGAGAAATTATGGAGAGCGGCACGAAACGACGTTTTCACGAGGATTCTTCTACCGTTTAAAAGACGCCGCCTATACATATAGATTAATATAGATTAACGTCGCATAAGTGTCTTGCTGCAGAGTCTTTGAGATTTTCGTCCTTTCTCACTAACAATAATTAATTAACACTCGTTGCTTGCCGGTTGTCTGAAAATAATTAGCGATACAATCATAATTGAAATTAATGGCTGCTAAAGACGATTTGAAATGTTATATTGTACTGAAAATATTTAAGAAATCTATAAAAAATTATATACCCCCATAAAAGATTCTTTAATAATTTCTTTTTATACTATACATTATTTTATATTTTGTCTTCTTATACTTACTATAGATAAGACGCGCAATTAACATTTTCTCCATTTTTTTTATTAACTTCTGTCTTATATTTTCTAATCGTTAATCTTTTTACAAGAATTAAATTTTGATTACGTCGCTTACAATGTAAAAGCTTCGCTCGAAAATTCGCGGCGAAAGAAATAGAAAATAGGTATAGGTAATTATACAACAGCTATCTAATCACATGCGTTTAAAGTTTTATGCTATTCATATGGCTCGAGATATTTTGTCTCTGCGACGTATTATTCTCGCCTTCCTTACTCTCACCGCGCGAGAGTGTCGTGTGTGTAAAATAACGTAAACAGATGTAATGTAAACTGCGCGCGAGTTATAAGCCCTGGGAAAGAGACCATATTTTTTGTAACGAGTATTATACCGAGAAAGAATAGCGTTGGTCAGCATATCTGTTTATTCTGACATCGTGCGACGTCCGATCTTGATTCGGAATCGATTACGAAAATTTATTGTCAAGTGCAACGCTTACGAGGCATAATAAATATGTACATATATGTATAATAATAAGCCTATACTTGTCACGATAATTTGAGTATATAATACATTTGAGTATATGGTACATATATGATAGCATAAATATAAAGATTGAAATATAAACACGTTACAAATTAATAATTCCTATTATGATCAGATTTATTCAATCAAATCGAAATAAAAGTATTAGGAATAATTTTGAAAATATTAAAGCTAGGGGGGGGGGTATAATAATAATATCAGTTTAGAAGAATTAATCACATAGAAGACATTAGTATTCCGTTAGTGTAAATCTCTTTGTTTTTTTGCTTATTATCTAATCCTTATTCGCACCTGATTTTATCGAAATCCTTTATATATATGTGTTTAAAAAAATTTATTTCAATTAAATTCATGCACTCTTTAATAAGTAATTCATACTTAATATTATAATTAATATAATTCATAGTTAATTTTTTTCAAAATGTCGACTTTATCCAACATATAATTATATATCATTATGTGTACATCAAATGATATACCTATATCAAACGATAGCGATAGAATTAAATAATTTCAATAATACGTTTTCAAATTTGATGTAACATATTACAATAATGTATGCAAGATCTGAAGGGGGATTAAAGACTTTTTAACTTTTCGTCGGTATATTTATAAGTACATATACATAAAAATTCTCTCTTCTCTCTCTCTCTCTCTCTCTCTCTCTCTCTCTCTCTCTCATTGAGTTTTCTCACTCACAATCCTTTCGTACATCAAAGGACCTGTTTTTATTGTCTCTTATGCTTCTATGTTAGATATAAAAATCGTTAAAACCTTGAAGAACGTTGATCGTGAATGCATTTCGATTTTTTCAATCAATATTAAACGCATAATATTTAAAAAATATTTTTTAAATATTTACTAAGTATTTTTTACATTATAAATAAATATTTTTAAAAAACGTTTTAAAAACATTGTCTGCTGGGAAGCGACGCGGGCGTATGTAGGTACGTACTTGCGGGGCAAAGATTCTACGGAGCCGAAAATAATTATTGAATACGATCGTGAAACACTCTCTGAGTCGCAATGTCGTGGCATACCAATGAACGAAATCACACGACGCAACATGCCAACACCATAAGCACGTGTGTCAATCGCAATTTGTTTAATAGAAGGAGGTCAGGTGGTCGAGTCATTCGCTTTCAAAACTCGAATTCGACCAGATATTTCCTAATACGAAAAGGATATCGCCATCGTTTAGCGACAAACATTGCTAAATAAGATTTCTGTACATGCAAGATATATCCGATACAATATCGAATTATGTCTCAATTAAATCTCAATTATATCAATCTTGAATACAGAGCTGGGCAAATTACATCATTAAAATATTTGAAATGTGCCCAGCCTTGCTTGCATGCATATGGTATAAGTTTAAATTTTTTAAAAATAATTCTTGATCAAATGTTTTCTTCTCGATCAAAATTTGATGTATTATAGGTTTGTTTATCTCAAGTTACAGCAGATTTATTTAAATGCTATTAGCAATATTCATTTTTTTCATTGTACAACACTTGTAAAACTGTAAGTATCTTTTTTTATATCTTTATTTGCCTTTGAGAGCTAAATTGTCGAAATATATGTATATATATATATATATATACACTATACAAAAAAATTAACTTAGTCCTTCAAAAATAGGTAATATTCAAGAGATAGTAGGTAATATTCAGGCCATGGAATTAAAATTTTTTAATTTAACAATGTCCATTTGTATCCTTATAACTTTATAAAAATATCAGATCGAAGTATCAATTACCAATTTCGAAAATAGAAACTTGAAACTTTAAAATATACTTACTTTTTCAAAAGTCTCGTTGCGATCATTTTCGATCAAGTTACACTCTCTTGAGAAATATTATCTACTTTCGGAATAAGACAGACTTAAGTGATCCGTTAATTTTTTTGTGTAATTTCGTTTCTGTAACTTTCTATACTAAAATATATAAAAAACAATATTACTATAAAAACAATAGGCAACTAAGAGCTAGTACACAGTTATTATTAATGTACAATTCTTCTTTATTCTTCACTTGTACATATATTTCCATTTCACTTGTACGTTTCGGCTTTCAGCTGCTTTTTTCAGCCATCTTCCTGGTATAACATTAAGTTTAATAATCCAAAATTTAAATGCAAATATTCTGAATGTAGGCGTAATTAGTCAGAGTAATTCTCCATTCTGTTACGCATTATGTGAACGGTTCTTCTTAACAAGGCTCAAGATTTGTAAGATCGATTGTACTAATAACTTGCATTTCCATTCTGTTACGCACAATTTAGAATAGAAATTATATAAAATTGGTGAAGATTAAAGAAGAAACGTACATTAGTTGTAACGTACATTAGTAATAACTATGTACTAGCTTTTAGTTGCTTATTGTCTTTAATATTGAGAGCTCGATTAATTTATACCGTTAATCTATACTCTATACTATAAATTTATCTGAGCGCAAGAGAAGAGACATTCTTGGAAAGTCACACACTTTTGTAATTACATATTTGTAATTTTGTAAAATCGTACGTGTCTTCTTTCCAATTCTAAGTACTATTCGCAACCGAATATACTGCTCTCTGTGTATTCAGGCATAATCTTTATCACGTTTCAAATTTATGCAATCGTAAATTCTTCGCCGACGTCTATTCTCGAGACGTGATTTATTTTTCGACATTCGAAACATCCTCAACTCGAAGAAGGAGGAAAGTTTGGAGTCTCCACTCGCGTTTCTCCCAAGAACGTATCGCTCTTCTTTCGCAGGAGAGGACGGACCTCTGACCCGTGGCGAGAGGTCGTTCTTTTTCTCGCGCTATACACAGAGCAGTTTGTTCCTTTAATTGCGTACCGAAAAATCTGGCACCAGGCCGCGTAAAAAAATCATAAAAACTCGCTGTAGGCGGCTCAGGAATGCTCGCCTCGACGCTCGTCCTTAATTGACACTCACTATCGCGAGGCGTTTCCGGATATCTCGATATCGTGTTAAAAAAAATTTTATTCTAGATTTGCAGAGATAAATATAATATAACATAAAAATAACATTCAATTTCCGCATAATTATTGTACTCTCGGGAGAGACAACATTATATCTCGCTCTCAGAAAAGACTATTATCTATGTATTACAATACTATTTAACTTGAAACAAATACTTTTTACGATATGTACGAAATGTATAGTAAATGTATTAAATGTATTAAATGTAAAAAAGAATTGCAAAGATATAACGTTTGAATACATTTTAGGAAAAGTTGGCGTAAGAGTATCATATATACGTAAGAATCAAGGTATTTTCAGATGGAAAATTTTGCGTAAAGTGTGACGTATACCTATAACTATAATTATATGTATTATACGTATAATTTATGGAATGCACAAAGCGCACAATATTCAATGTTTGATCGTGCTGAAGGAGAAATTATTGCGAGCAAGAGAAAAATTGGATGGATTCGTTAGAGAAAATTGTCGGTGAAAAGTTGGCTCGCGGGAAATGGCATCCTAATTTTCGGAGGCCACACACGCTTTTCCTCTCCCCGCGTGTATATGTATAACGTTATGTGCGCGTTTATAAATCTACCAATACACATAAACCAATACACGAATAGGGCATACACGAGGCATATGCGCGTGAGTGCGCGAAGGAAAGGACGAGGGTGTCGGATTACGGGTCGGAGGTTAGTTTTTACACTAATTAGTCACCGAGTCTCTCGTGGCTGTCAAACATTGCGACCGCCCCCCTGTGGCGCTCCTTCCTTCCATCGAATACGAGCTTCACGTGTTCCTATTTCTTCTCTTCTTTTTCCCTCGTATCTTTTTTCCTCGCTAGATGTATGTGCTTCCTCCTATGTATACGTATGTATATACGAAAGCGATTTTATCTAAATTGTACTCATCACACACGATCGGCTGCGTGAAAACGCCGTTTGTCGCCTTACGTTTGTCATAATATTTGTAACGCTGTGTACGATCGAACTTTCGTTATAGTTGACATTTTTTTTTTAAGTATTAAAAAAAGGGGAGGGCGAGGGAGATAAAAGTATTTTAAATTTACAAATTTTCTAAATTTTGAGAGAGAGAGAGAGAGAGAGAGAGAGACTCAATATTCTTTTCTCTTCTTCCATTTGAAATTGAACCGAACTACTACTTGTCATATGAAATTGTATATTATCTGGCGTTTAATCGAACTGTTCGAGTGACTATTTTGTTCGAAACAATAATCTCTTATATACGTTTATTATAGATATATGTATGTATTAAGATTAATGTTGAAGGAATTCTATAGGCGTTTTATATTACGTTGCAGATTATCTTGAATTCGATGCACCGTTATCAGCCGCGTTGTCACGTAGTGGTCGCTCCTTCGCCACCAGGCTCGGCGCCGGATCCTCGCACGGAGAACTTCAAGACATTTTCCTTTCCAGAGACTAGATTCACCGCGGTCACCGCGTACCAGAACCATCGGATAACGCAGCTCAAGATTGCCAGTAATCCATTCGCCAAGGGTTTTCGGGATTGCGAATCGGACGAGTGCGACGGCGTGGCGGCCGTCGGTGCAGGGATGCCGAATCCTGCCAAAAGACCAGCCACGGGAGTCACGAGTACCGCGAGTACCACCATAAATACCCTTCTCCCATCCGGTTACAACGCCATGCCGATTCCGGCGCCGATGCAGATTCCGGGTGCAATACCCGCTGCCACCTCCCAGGAACACCATCAGTTCTATGGCGCAACGGGCGCCGTAACAGGTAGCCATTGGACGCATTATCCGAGCCATCATGGACAGTCATCGGCCCACGTTAACACGGTTCATTATCCGATGCATTCGCAGCATCCGCATTCGAGCGCGTCTCTCTACGGACCGCGATAATCATTAATTTGACTGCGCCCGCGCGCCGCCCTCATGTGCGGTTCTCATCGATCTCATCGTTTCTACCTTCGTCGGCCTCTAATTACGTATGTAACTAATATATTTCAGATTTTTATGTCGAATCGTCGAAAACAATCAATTTGTGCACGCTTAAACGATGGAGACGAAAATGATACGTGATACGTATCATTCGCAGTTCGTACCGCGCGTAATATATATAGTTTTGACGTATTTTCACATCTCGATCCGACGCTTTTTTACAATTAATGCAACGGAACGCAAGAATTTCCTTCTTGAAACGTGTTGACGTGACTTTAGACTTGCAGATGTACTCTTTTAAAAATACGCACGCTAAACAACTTTTCTTGCGCGACCTCTCATAAAAGATAAGACCTAAAAAACAGTGGATTATCAAAATATTGCATATATGTTCTGAATTTCTCTTACAAATCTATTATTATTGTATTGAAAGAATCAGGTCACGTAAAATTATTTCAATTATTTCAAAAGATGAACATTTTACGCGCACATGTATATTTATATTTATTTCTGCGTGTAACGGCAATTTTTTATTCAAGCTTATTTAATTGACAGTAAGATATAGTAATTGATAAATTATTATACACACACACACACACACACACACACACACACACACACACGCGTGTGTGTGTGTGTGTATATATATATATATATGTAGAGGTATGCTTGTTACTGATTACGCGATTTGTTGATGATGCAACTTGTACCAAAGATTGTGCCAATATTTGACTTTATGGGTCTATCCTAAGTTGCAGAATTGTAAGAGTCGTAACTTGTAAGCAATAATATTTACGAGGACTCGTAGATATTTTTAAATGATTATATGTCTTACGACATGCACAGAATTACAACTCTACAAGTCACGAGTTCTTACAAGTCTTACAATTCTACTTAGAATTAACCTATTATATGAATTTACGTTCGAGTTGAATAAAAAATAAAACAGATTTTTATACGTTGCTCACGCATATTTATATATTATATGTATATATACGTGTGATACTGTATATACATATAAATATACATATCTGGTGATATTAAGAGAGTAATAATTAGAGAGAGAGTTAGACAGTACGCTCATATCATCGTTGGTAATTCCGACATATTGTTATAAAGTGCTAACTTGTCTGCATGCAGTACCTACTAAAATTATCAACAAGGAGAACTACATATAGAACCGATAATGCAAACCTCTTATTTGCAAAGCACTTTGATATTAGTGTACACTTTTTGGAGCGTTTAAATTAATTAGTGCGTAAGAAACGAATCGACTGATCGACGTTGCTGGCAAAGTTGTGGAAGTAAGTGCCTTTTGTAGGAGCAAAGTGCGTCTATTTATACTGGGTGTCTCAAATGCCGAACGAGTTTAAAACGTTCTCGAGCCAAGACGAGAAAGTAAACGCGCCATGAGACACTTGGTGAGAGTAACGTGGTTACTAAAAGTGCCTTAATAAATTATGCCGCTTGGCTCTATCGTACTTACCATATTGTGCCTTTAACTTTTTAAGAATTCTTCACAGCATACGACAGCATTGAAGGAACATTTATGGCTAAACGAAGAATAAACTGTATAAAATATAATGTGAAACATGCACAATTTATTTCTCCTCAACACAAAATTCTCTCTTCACTCTTCCTCTCCTACGAAACCGAATATGCATGTATCTTACCTCGAGAGCGAACGACTCTAGCTGCGTCTTTTTTCTTGCAATTCGTCGCAAATCTTTTTTAATTATCATTATTTAAGTTTAAGTATATATATATATATATATATACTATACTATAAACTTTTGTCAGGCATTTAACACAACAATTTCGCGTGCGCGATTTCATGACGAATCTATCTTTCTCATCTTTATCATTGAAATTTTTATCATTGATAAAAATATATTAATATTAAAAATATAGTATACATACATAAAGATATTTTCCGATAAGACAAGCTCTCTCTCTCTCTCTCTCTCTCTCTCTCATAATAAAGATTCATTTATTATCAAGTTGAGCTAAAATCTTCCTTTTTATATGAAAGTGAGATTTTTCAGAATTTTGAATACGTGGAATGTTGCGGTATTTCAAGTATCGCACACTAATCGATCGCTGTTAAATTATAGCAATTAAAGCTATAAGAACGATACGTTTGTCACGAGCGGTTGACAATGGTTTAACATCACGACTGTCGGAAATGACGAGCTAGAGTGGCAACGAAGCGAGATAGAAAGGAACTCGAGCGTCTAAGACCTCCGTGGAATGACGAGACCGACTCGACGTTCACCGTGATTGATGGCTGCGCGAGGAACAACGCTGTGTAAACATATTACAAGCGTATGCTTAATGATCGTCGGTGCAGAGGCTATACATTCTCCCGCTCTAACTAAACGTTTTGCACTCCGTGATTCATTCCACAAAGGAAAGAAATCTCGCTTGAAAAGGAAAAGTGAAAATCTTATTCAAGAGTTTGTCACAAATTTTTCACTCTTTTTCAATAGTAACTTTCAACAGTACTTTAACTCTTTGGGAGTGAGAATTTAGAGGGCCGTACATTTTAACTCTTCGTTCGCGTCGAGTGCACCAAAGTGTGCCAAAGTATTGACAAATAATAACCGGATCTTGTGGATTATATACAATTGATTCTTACAACAATGATAATAAACTGTCGATAATATATAGACAAGTTATAGGTATCGTACGTATATATCGCTTACAGGATATATCAATTAATAATAAAGTATCTCATATTGTTAATTGATCGCGATTTTTTCACATTCCACGAAATTTAGAGACTAATTGTAAATGCAATATATATTTTTTCTTAAATTTTTATACATACTGCATTAATTATTATACATATATCTTTATACTATGTATATATTGTACCAGCTTAATTATATTAATTACAAACATATTACAGCTGATTAATGTATAATAGCAATTTATTTTACGAAATCAACTTGTTTTATGTGGCGTGAAGTATATATGTAATATATATATATATATAGATATGTAGTAAGTGACTTTTGTGTAGTCGCACGTACGATAGTTATTACGAGAAAAATACAGTGTGTGTGCCTCGACAAGGGAGGTCTTGTCGTATACTTTTGACACCTTAACCCTAAGAGTAATATAAAGCCGCGCGAGATGCCAAGTACACAGAGAAAAGCCCATGCTTATCGACGGCGCGTGACGTCGCCGCGCCACGGCAGTAAAAAGACACCCTTTCCCCTTCTTTGCCATATTCTTTCATCTTTGCGTCGTTATAGGTATATTGCGACATTTGCGACTATATAACTAGAGTTGACCCTCACCGAGAGGTCAACCGCGACCCTCACTCACCACCGTGCGATATCAGCGACCGACACCACTTTCCGGCTCGCGACTCGCGATAGCTCCTCCAAATTAACTAACGTCGAGAAATGAAGGACAACGAAAAATCTTTATCGTCAATTCAGAGAAATGAGTTACGTAGATTTTTTTTTCTTTTGTTAAAAACAACAATAGCCAATCTCTTAATTACACATTATCAAGATACATATGTCGCGAAAGGAGAAATAACACTAGCCTATATGAATTTATATAATCTTGGATCGTCGTTTGAACGAACTTAATCATTTCCCAGTTTTTTAGACGCCAAACACGAATTCGGTTTTCAATTTAGGCTATCACGTCATAATTTTGATAAGAATTAGTGTCAAAGAGGATTGAATTAAATAAGAAAGCAATATGAAATTTTAACAAAATACAATACCTTATACATATGTGGCCATTTTCAAATTGTTATATCTCAAAAATGAAAAATCATATCGAAACGAAAAATAAAATTTAAAGGTAAAAGTTTGAAAATTAAAAGTTGATACTTTCATGTGACACTAATGAAATTTTGAAAAAATTTCGCTGTCGGTACGATACAACATATATTGATAAAGACCATCAAAATGGTGTTTTTTTTTTTAATTCTTTGATGTCTTTTCCCTCAAAATTGTGACGTGATGATAGCCAAATCTGGAAAACGGATTCGTGTTAAACAGACAAAAATACGTTAAAAACAGTATATATACGTTAAAATTGTTAAAACAATTTTCGTTGCAGGCTAGTAATTAATTTAGGCTGTAATTAATAACAAAACGCTGACAATTAGTCAAAATTATTTTCAAATATACATATAATGTTAACTGTTATAATAAAATTAATTAAAGTGTTAATTATTTTCATTACAATTATAGAATTAATTTTAGATTATAAGGCAATATTTGTCTAATAATTGTACATACATATATATGTGCAGTGAATGAACTTCAATACAATATAATTGCTGATTTTTCTTATATAGTTATATCTTTTATATATTTCTCAGGATGTGTGTGTGCAGATTCCTTTTTCACATGCACTTGGTCCTTACAAACCCTCTTTATCGCGAAGGCGTAACCGGTGACTTTTAAGGAAGCGTCTGGAATCTTTCATTCTCCCGTCATGTCATTCTGAGTATCTTTTCTAACGGATCCAATTTTTGACTGGGTTTTTTCTCACCATCAGTTAACGAACGCTGAATCAAAATGCTCACGCTAAGTGGAATATTATATACATACTTTATTCTACATATTATTATAAAAAGTAATCGTGTGTGG